ATGCGCATTTGATCATATCCACATGTTAATTTGTGCAATATAAATATATAATTATTAATTATTATTATTATTGTTAGCATCAATAGAATACAACTTATAAGGAAATTACTGAGCGATGCTAAAAATATAACATGGCTAAACAAGGTCCATTGAGAGAGTTAGATCATAAAAATTGAGTTCTTTATTGTCCTTATTGATAAGCCCCCCTCTCTAATAAGCCATTCCCCCCCCCCAAGTACCTGAAATGAATAAGCCCCCCCGGTGGGGGGGCTTGTTAGAGGATTTACGTTACAAACAAAGTATGATGTTAATAATAATGATAACAATAATAATATTATTTCTTCTTATTTCAAGGCACACAAGTTGACATCATCGGATATTGAAAAACTATACCCCAAGATTCACAAGTTCCGAGAGGTCTGCCAGAAGTTAGACCCTCAAGGAATGTTTCGCAATAATTACGTGAATAAGGTCATCTTTGGATCAGCACAGAAATCTGAAGCGGATAATAACAAGACTAACGACGAGTGAAGTCTCCCTGACCACCAGCCAGGGAGGTGGGAGATTAGACTAAATGTGTAAGGTTGAGCTTACTATGAGACAGAAACTCTGGTAACAGTTCCCTTCCCTCAACTTCCCCGAAAATCAGAGAAGAAGAAGAAGAAAAAAGAAAAAAGAAACGAAAAAAATTGCTAAAGAAAAGGAAGTGAAAAAGCTCCTGCACCATCTCTTGTTTCCCTTTCATTCACAAAATACTTTCCAGACAATTATCCTTATTTACGCATTTTTGGATCGTTGTGTTCTTGAAAAGATTTGAGAAATTTTAAAATTAACTCGAAGAAAAAAGTAAGTCTCGAAATTAACTTAGGTGGGTACCGTAGAAAATTGAGAAGGGGAGGGGGTCCTAAGACTCCTCCGACTCCCAAGGCGAGAACCATTGAACGGTCCCCAATAGGAGCAAAAGCATTCGTGGAATTGTTCATTCGCGGCACGATCATTAGTTGTTTGAGCTGTATGATAAACGCACGGTGGATTTTTCTAGTTATCTCGACATTGGTGTCACTAGGACACCGAAATGTCGGCTATTGAGACTAGTTTTCGCTTTTGTAATGATATATGAATATTCACATGTAATTTT